GTACGCATAATAATTTTTGAACAGAATATGTTTTTCGATGTTGGCAAGTTTTATTTATGATAACAAACTGTGTCACAAAAACGAATATTATGTATTTCAACACTAAACAGTAAATAGTATACATATATTTGTCAATAGCAGCAATGTATATGTTAATTTTTGTATTGGAAATACATTTTAATTCAAATAATAAAAATAATGATACAACATACTTTTAAAATAATATATTGAATATCTATCCTGAAAATTAATGAAATCTTCTTTTTGTGTTCCATTAGGTTTCTAAAAAAATAAAAATAATTTTTTTTTTCTAATAAGTTAATTTTTCTAATTATTTCAATTATATTTTTTATGTAAAATTACTTTATAATTAGTAATATGATGGTAAATATATGTATAATAGTTAATATTAACTACTAAATTATTACTTAGTCGTTAGTAATTATTACTAGTTATTATTTATTAACTTAACTGTAATGCAACTAAATCAGTCACCGAAATCAGTCACCGAAATCCGTCAATTTGACTGCAGTGATTATTAACATGTGTCCCCAAACGAGTCTGAATATTGTTTATCACATTTTTTTTTTTTACAATGAAGTTCATAATAACAGTATTATAAAATTAATTTATTGAAATTAGCGTGGGATACTTTTTGTAAGCCTGCCTACACGTAGTAGTACTAAAATTTCCTATACACTATGTCGGCCAATGGGAAATAAGTTATAAAATATTTTTATTATTAAAAAAAAAGTAAGTAGTAATTTTAGTGTAAAGTAGGCTAGAAGTGGATTTCGTTATTGACAAAGTTAATTTCATAGAAGTGTTAAACTTTAATTCAATGGGAATACTTCAATATCGTTTCTCAACATGTAGAATATATTCGCATATTAAAGCTTCTTTATGTCATTAATTAGGTACTGATAATTTTTTTTTCATGTTCCGTAAACAGTTTAACAAATGAAAATAATTAAATTTATTTTTAAATTTTTACCTTAATAACTAATAAGTAAAAATAAACAAACTATTATTTATTTTTAATGAATTAATCAATGTTTAAAAAACGATAATTTTATATTACATGTTGTAACCCAAACAAAATAATAGTCATAAATTATAATTTACGTATTTTTTTTTCAAATTTGTGAAAACTGAAATTGTCAATAAACTTCTCCGTTTTTTACAATTTAAATATAATAGTTGTTAATATTAATTAATTCTAAAATAACCCTAAGCTATTTATTTGAGTATTATTGCAAGTTAGATAAAATAAAGTAATTTTGTCACATTAACTAACGAACCCAAAATTTTCCGAATAGATTTTTAATTCATCGTTTTCTTGTATTCATGTTTATAATAATTTGAGTAAGCCCTTGTTGTTACAGTAAAATAACATTTCCTAATTTGTATATGCAGAAAACACTTACAATAGCTTATTTTTTGACATTTATATTTACATTAAATATATTATAATACTCGTACCTTATATTTTATAATATTAATTGTATCAAGTCACCTCAGAATAGGTTATACACACTACATACATACCTATATAATAAAATAATAACCATCATAAATATATCAAAATATCAAACATGCAATTAAATACATTTTTACAGAATGTAGAAAAAAACAACCACACAAGAGTTTTAGCAAAAATATAAGATATCAAAACGCTTTTACGATACGCACTCTCGATTTTAACGGCTACACTATTTAAAAAAAAACGTAATGTTATTTAAAAATAAAACATTTACCATTAAGTACAGTGTACTACAAAGGCTCCCGGGGGGGGGGGGGGGGGTGGCGGTTGGCCTTAAATGGTGATGACAAAAAAGAAAAATATACTCGGGAAGATAATACCCAGAAATTTATCTCAATAATAATTGTAATATTGTGAACTGTAAAAAAAGGACGGGTGACCAAAAAAAAATAAATATAATAATACGAACAAACTTGTTTTTCGCACCGTCGTGCTACAATATTATATAATATAAATATTAAGGTAATAGATCAGTAATAATAATAATAATAATAATAATAATAACAAATTAGGGCGCCCAGATAATCTGACACAAAAAGGAATCAATATACGACAAAACGAATAATAAAAATAAGTAATATAACAATAATAACATTAATAACTAGAGCGCGGATTTCTATGCAATTGCATATTTTTTTCCTTTTAATATTTTTGGATTTTTGTCAGTTATCTCCACGAATCATCATAATTTGAAGCTAATGGTGAAATCTTTTTTTGCATATTTCTGCATATTTAAAGGTTATTGCATATTTTTGCATATTTTGGCAAAATTCAAAATTTATTGCATATTGAAGCGAAAATTTAAAAAAATTTAAAAAAGTGTATAAGATAATATTTTGACAAGTAGAATGATTTAACATTTATATCTACTCATTTGGCATTTTTAGTGATAGTCATAAAAAAAACTGAAAACTCGAAATATAACTTTACATCTAAGCTTTTCAATAATTGACGAAACGAAAGAAAAAATGTTTTCTATTTCTGGATCGAAAGGTGTAACACTTACAACAAAATTAAACGAGCTTTCCAATAAAAATGAAGGTCTGAAAATTCTACGAAAAATTAATTCAGTGTTATTAGGCGAAAACGTTCAGCTCAAAGAACTTTATCAAGATCCGATAATACTAAGTTGCTTCAAATATGCCCCAATAACTTCGGTTGACGTCGAACGTTCGTTCTAAGTCTTTAAAAATATGTAAACCGATAAACGATACAGCTTCACAGAAGAAAAACTTGAAATGCATATGATTATTCATTTTAATAATAAATACAATTTTAAAAATAAATTAAGTTTGGAAAATTCCCTAAATTTTTTATTATTAAGTATTTAAGTAATTAATTATTATAAGTTTTATTGTAAATTTTAAATAAATAAAAAATTCTTGCATATTTTCATAATTTTGACTGCATATTTTCATGATTTTTACTGCATATTATATGGCATATTTCGATACTTTTAAGTGCATAAAAATCCGCGCTTTATTAATAACATATGTATGGATATCACCAATATCGACGATTCGGATGTTGGCCAAAGCGATTGCGTGAGATCTCCGCTGCAGGAACATCAGTATGGACCACGCCGTAGATACACCGCCCATTAACGAACTCCACAGCCAAATAATAACAGGTGGATATATATTCACACATATGTATATATATTAATGTAAGCGCGGCAATAACAGCGAATTAACACGACGGCACACACGTTATTAAACAATACGGGTGCAACGACAGAAATCCTTGACGGCACACACGGCCAAGGGTTCACGGCACGCACGTTATAAAAGGTTTACGACCACGTCTCGACGATGTCGTACGAGACCAGCGAACGAGTGGAGTCTTGTTTAACAGCGGTGGTCAAAGGCGCCGATGCCACATATACAAGATGGGAGGAGGGCGACGATAAAGTCATCGAGCTTATCGCACACAAACAGTAATCATTTAGTATATCTTGAACATACAGTATGTGAATTTAAAAACTAATGATATTTTAATTATATACATTATAAGAATTCATATGAGGCAAACACTAAGCATACTAAATTTTGATTAGAAACATAACGTTTACACAAATAATATGTGTATTAAATTACAAACAACGATTGGGTTTACTTACCAGGTTTTTTCATAATCAATTAATAATATATCCATTAATTACGTTTTAAATTAAATATTTTTCAGAATAATACGATTCAAAGTTACAATTTAATTTATAAACATTTGTTTAGAAATTTTGGATAAAAAAAAAATCAAAGAATTTTAATGACACGTGACAGCTATAAAAAACTTTTATATTCATACACACAAATAAATAATACAATATTAATCTAAATATAGCTGCATAGTATGTTAATAATTAACTCTCAAATTTCGATGAATTCAATGATTTATTTTTTAGAACAACTACTAAATATGAATCAGTATACATAATACAACTAAATATAAAATACTATAATTAATCGATTACCTACTGAGTATACTGATATCATAATATAGCATTAAAACACATATTTTTTTTTTTTAATTATGATCTACATACACACTCATTTTTAATTATTATTTATTTATAATATAAATAGTTAAAGATTTTAAATGAAAATAACAAACGTGAATTCAACATTATAAAACCATAACTTATTAATACTTAATGATAAAAACGTATTTTTATGTATTATACAAAATATTTTTAAAAAAGTATAAAACTTTAATTTAGAATTTTGCAATGGCCATTATTATTATTTAATTATTTTCTATTAGATAAAAACGTTAATAAGATCAAAAGTGACGATAAAAAATTGAGAATATCAATATTCGAATAAAAAAATTGACAAAATGGAAGAATACATAATTACCATTCGGGGCAGTGTTATAAATGATGTAATAATATAATATTAATTGTTATAGTAATTCAATATTGCCAATTCATGTATTTAAATACCATTTAAATATAAATTCTATAGAATGGTAGTATTATCAATATTATCACAACTAAGTGAAAATGCCTAATAAATAATTTTTTTTTAATTGTTATTAATAATTTTTAAATATTAAATGTAATAAATTTGAATACTAAAATTACTTGACCATTTATAAAATTAATCATCGAAAAACTTATTTTGGTTATTATGGAATAAACGATCTTCATAATTTATCATAGTTTTGTAATTATTTATAGTTTATAATAAAATTTATACATTCATACTCATAAAGTTATAACTGTATTTTATTTTAATTGGTAAGTCATAATTTTAAGATAGTACTGAGATAACAGAGGTCAAGAACTGCTGCTATAGAATACTCATGAAAATACCTCATTTTAATACACCTATGTTGCATATTATAATATAATATACTTCACAATTACTGTGTATCTACAATTATTATTCATAATTATAAGCAATAATTGATAATAACATTTAAATTTTTTTAAATATTAAAGAAAACAACGATTTTTTTAAAATTTGAACCATCCACTATTCTCGTCTTTGATCTTTAGTAACTCTTCTAGAGCAAACGATCCTTTGCGTCGATCACTGTCGTGAGTAGAGTTTCTGATAGAAAAAAAACAACAACAATACGAATAGTATATTAAAAGAAAAGGCAGTTAAATATAAATAATGTATATTTTATAAGTGATTAAAAAAACTCACATGGAAACCCTTGCGGAAGACACTGTTAGCTTGTTCATAGGATAGCTGCGCCTGATGGTTTTTGCGTGTTTTTTCAATTGCTTCTTTTGTTGTAGCCATTTATAGAAATTTTTTTCGTTTTCCGCTCTCTTCTTTTGTTCTTCTTCGTGTTTCTTCTGCTTTAATTCTTTCCTTCGCCTCTCACGTTCCATTCTCATGTTGCGCCTTTCCAGCAGCTGTTCAGCCGACAGCCCATATTCAGATCTAAGGCCGTTGTAACCTGGCAACCGAGGACGTTCGCCGCACCCAGCGACTGAGGACTTCTTGACGGTACCTCCACCGCTGTAATTCGTCGGGCTATGATGCAGCTCTACCTCAGCTGTGGGCTTCTTTTTGATCACTAACTTCGCTCCCTTGCTGTTTCCAGACTTGTCCGTCTGAAATTCCAGAAACAAATCCGCGTTCGGTGTCTTGGTGATCCGAGGTTTAGCATTTTCGCCGTTTTTCGCCGCCCTCAGATTAATGTGGAAGAATTTATTCGTAGACTTATTGTTGCAGTTGTTCGAAGAACTCGTTTCGTCAACTGTGTGGCGACTGTTCCTATTGTTAAGTGGTTTGAGCTTACCTTTCGGGTCCATTTCAAAGTAATATGTCATGCGAGCCTTATTATTATTATTATTATTAATATTGTTTTTGTTTATGTTGTTGCCATTACCGCAGTGATTCATCTGCTGCTGTACACATATCTGAGCAGATGACGATTGCATTTTTTTGTCGGATATTTTTGTTTGCTTGATTTTTTTTTGAGCGTTTCTTAGCGATGCGAAACAACCAACTTTTTTTGTGGACTTGAAGTCGACTTTCTTTTCATTCATTGCCCCCACTACTTGCATTGCCCGTTTACGCTCTCCAGTAATTTCTTTCAACTTATTTCTCAACTCCTCCGCATCCAGCTTCTTGGGTACATATATGTTAACGTCCCCGTCTTCCAATGTTTTTTCCGCACAGTTTTCATACATTTTGTATTGTGTGTGGGTGAACAATTCTGGGAAGTACGTCACATGCTCGTCAATTGCTGATCCTTGGCGCGTCTTATTGTTTCGGTCCATGATTGTTTTGAATTCGTCCCCAGACTCTATAATGTTTATAAACAACGGGTCATCAGATTCAGACGAAAAACTTCTGCTAAATGAAGTGCTTGAATAGGCTTTGTCGTCTGTGTCAGTATCTTGCGTTCTATCGGTAGTCGAACTGCACACCACATCGTTTTGGTCGTCTGCATCATCATCTCGTAACAAATCAATTTTGGCCAAAATGTCTTTATCTTTGAGATCATCAATCGGACAATCAGAAATAATAACTTCGGTACCTTGAAGTGTTTCCGTTCCGATCGACACTGTACCTATAAATATTATAGCTGTGAATACGTCATATATTTAAGTCTATACATCACAGTAAACATATTAAACTAATCTTATTGTTGATTTTTTAAGCGGTATTATTTTAAATAATAAGAAAATAAAACTACTACATTACCTAAATCGTTACTATAAAATATCACCCATAATCAAAGTCAATAAACATATACAGGTGTAAACGCTAACTGAGAACACTCAATAAATTTGCGTTAAGTCCTGCGATTTGAATTCTGTGTTTTTATTGGGTTTTATGATATAAAAATACATATTTTTATGGCCTTTAAATATTTTTAATTTAATTAGACCAATTGAATGGCCACCATGATCACCTGATATTATGCCACAAGATTTTTTTTATGGGATCACTTTAAAACAATAGTGTATGCCGACCTCCTGTAAATTTTCAAAATTTAAAAAATAAAAATAACAGCAGCATGCAATCAACTGACTGATGAACAAATTACAGCTACAACAAATAAAGAATTTATTATACGACGCGCTGAATCATGTTTTATTCACGGCGGACAACAATTTAAACAATTTATACGTTAAATTAATAAATTAATAAATAAACTTATAACTTAAATAAGAATTGAGTTTGTTATTAATTATTAATATATCCTAATAGATTCATTAAATGTAATGAAATAAACAACATACTAATTTACGTTTTTTCTGCTTGAAGTTATAACTCATACACAGATTACAGTGAAAATTATACAGAAATTAAAATTATAATCATGTATGACTATCAAATTAATAATTAGGGATGAAAATGTCAAACCTACACAATCCTAGAATAATTATTTTTAGAGTTAAAAGTCAAAAAACTGTAAATCGCGTAAATTTTGCAGTTTTTTGGTTAAATTGCTATAACTTGGTCAATTTTGGACTTAGAAAGTTAGTTTAACTATCAAAGTTCATTAAAAAATTAATGATTAAAATAGGTGGTTACCATTTAAAAAAAATTGTACTGCGCGTGCGCATGTCTAATTAAGTTAAAAATATTCAAAGGCCGTAAAATGTGTATTTATATGTCATTAAAACCGATCAAAACACAGAATTAAAATCGCAGAACTCTACGTAAATTTATTGAGTGTCTTAGTTAGCGTTTACACATTGTATATTGTTTATAAATTACGTATATGGTATTGGTATATAGCACTATAATAAAATAATTTGATACTATCGTATATAAAACTAAACAAAAAATCTCGAAAAATAGTATACATTATTGTTTAAATTGTATGTAAAAATATAAACTAAAATACTAACATTAACAAATTATAATAAATCAGAAGTATTTAAAAAATATATTTATTATATTGTTTTAAGGGACATTTAAAATAATATGTATATATTAATCATTTTTGATTTTAGTAAGTTAAAAAAAAAGTGAATGCTTTTCACCTATCAATTAATCAGGACTCGTGTGTGAATAGATTTTACGTCGGTGGGCATTTACTGTACATAAAATAGGCATGTACATTTTGCCCATTCAACAAACTATAAAATAATTATTGAATTAAAGCAAACACAAAAACACCGTACCGATGTCTTCAAAACTGTCTAATATTACAACAGTGTTGTCAAACTTGACTTTTCCGGGCGCGTTAACTAATTTGCTCTCTGCACTAGCGTTTGCTAATTCTCGGTTTGCTTCGTGGATTTTTGAACGCAGATCGTACGGTTTGTCCGATGGTTTCAGTACCGTGCCAGACGCAAAATAAACTTCTAAAAAGGTCACACCGTATACACATTAAAAATTAAAATGAGGGAATACGCTATAAATTAAAAACAAAACTGTTCAAACAAATGCACCATATATTTTTATTTTTGCAATATGTTTGAAAATATGTTTTAGTTTTAACGTATAAATATTTAATTATGAATAGTAATACTTACTTATGAAATCTTCTTCGTCATCCACGTCATATTCGTTAAATGCAGTAATTTCATTAGTATTTGACGTGACACGTACTGCCGATTTTAATTTCATAAAAGAACTACTATCGTTTTCAGAAGGAATAACTCTTGTTGCGTAATCCGAATCGTAAATATCAAATGGTAAGTTTTCATCGCTTTCGTTTTCAATGGTTTCTATTTTTTTCTCTGAACTCATTTCCTTCAATATTTAAATTTAGTTCACTTACAAAAAAAAATTATGTATCTTAGATCTGTAATTTACAATGATTACCTACGATTAATCACAACCTCACAAATATAACTTAAATAAGCTGAGATGTAATAGAATTTAAATTATCTTATTTCTTTACAAGAAAATTATGCTGATATTTTACGTATAAAAAATATAAAACATGAAAATAATATAATTATCATATAATCACATTTTATAGATATTGAATTGTTGATACTTTTCATAAAAATTAATTTTATTAATTAAAACTATTCATTAATATTATTGGGCTTTAATTTGTTGTTCAACGAGTACCTAGTCTTATCAATTTTTATTTAAAAATTAAGTAGGTGTAGTTATTTAATATTTATTTTTTACTGTACAAAATAATTTGTTTCTTAAGCAGTCAAAATATAAAAATATTTAAATCTTAAATAACGAAAGACAAATATTAAACTTGTTTTATTTTTTATATGAAATCGATTAAGTATAATGAATTGATGTATTTGGTTTTCTTCAAAAATATAACACACCTAATATACGAGTATGGTATGTTTATTACCGTGAATAAAATATTTAAAGATTATTTTTCCAAATAATACCATTACTGTTCATACTAAATACTACAATTATTTTTAAAATAATAATGTTACATATTTTTCATTTACTAAATGTATGAATATTTCTATTGGTATTATAGTGAACTTTCAGGTTACGCTACAAGTCCATTGCCCAGGTTAATTAATTTTGAAATATTAACAATTAATTATTAACAGTTGTAGTTATAAAAACGTTTTAAAATGGTGACTAAAATATTTTATAAAAGTTGTTTACACGATTTTATTACAAATTACAATTTACAATTAGGTATTTATGCATATATTTTCAAACATATTCATTATAACCGTTGCGTTTGTAAAAAGAACAAAATAGGTCGTGAGCGTGCGTGTATATGCACGTATACGATTATCTATTAAAGGTGTCTGTACGTAATTGTTTGTGCGTACCTTTACAAATTAAACAACGTATACATTATACATTGTACATTATAAACGTAATACGTACCTAAACCAGGAATAATAATGTTTTTTTTCAATTGGTGAAACACAAATTAAAAAAATAAAATTATTATTATTATTTAACTGCTTTTACACTGCTTATAAAAAATATATTGTGCGTATTTAATAAAATATTTGCAATTTCAGCAGCACACAACCTTAAAATATATATATAATCTACGATTAAATATCAAAAAGTAAAAGCCCATATCCCTCTTTCATGTATAATATTATATAAAAATTAATAATGGCAAAAATAATATTAAGTGGATAAAAAAGAATCACAATAATACCGCCATACAAAAATTGTTTAAAAGATATTTTATACATATAAAAATTATTGCGATTTGAACATATAACTACGTTTATAATCAATATACGATCATCTAAAATATTTACAACTATACAAAAATTATTTTTTAGTTTCAAGATAAAAATTGTCTATAGAAAAAGTGATTCACCCATCATGTTTAATCATTATTCTTAAAAATGAATTAATTAATATTTTTATTTTAAAAAAAGTGTTCCAGTATACTAACTATTAAGAAACAATATTTTTAAATACTAGATTATTTTTGAAATTAAAGAATTGTGTGATGATAAAAACTTATTTTTTTTATATAAAAATTACTTTTTTAATTGTAAATTTCTCATCCTCAAAGTTTTTATTTTTATAAATATTGAAGTCGCTAAAGGTCAATATTCGAAATTTGAACAGATAATTCATGTACGATTAATCTATGTGCAATTTTTTACCAATAATTAATATCCCGAATAACAATTTTACATAAAATTTTTTAATAATAATAAAATATACTTAACTGCATACTTGTATTTATCCGAAATCTCGAAATGAAAACCGCACGTTGTCGTTGACCGGATTTTTTTTATTAATATAATCAATCGTTCGCATGTATGATTATATTATATTATACACTTTAAGTTTTCGTAAGTTCATATAGGTAGATAACTAAATATACGTGACTGTAATATTATCGAACTTCCGAATTAAATAGATGCCGTGGCAGCTGCATCGTAATGCTATACAGTAGCGGTATAATAGTTGTAGTACTGCAATCGGACGGCGTTTAGGCGAAAAGGCGTCGATATAATGATAAATTAGTCTAATACAAAATATCGGAGGAAAAACACACTCATACACACACACAAAATAATAGTGTAAATAATTATTTATGTGCAATTTAGAGTATCAGTGGCATTATCGTAAAACTATAATGTATTAGCACTGCGCCTCCTGGAATTCAAACTATCGTCCCGATCGGTAAATATGTTTATCGGAGTTGCTTAGGCAACTTCAACCCCATCACGTGATTTTTTTTTTAATGTTCGGTCGTTGGTTCGTTCGTATCATTATCATAGGATAATACGATGACACTATTACAATAATATAATATTATATTATACGCCCTGCCGACGTCAATGGCGTACTCGAATGGTATAATTAAAGGACTGCAGTGTAGCGCATACCTCGATTATCGAGCTGCCTGCTGTAAAAATGTATGTATTAAATACGAGTAGGTGTGACGTTAGAATAATTGAACAACTGAATTTTCTATTTCACTAAAATAAAGTTGGAATGTATTCTTCCGTAATGCTCGGTACAATATTTTTTAGATATGTAGAAGATACCTACACATTTTTTCATCCCATCGTTAAAAAAAACAGATTTACGTTAAAAATAAATATTCCTACGATAAAATATGTAGTCGAAGTGCAGATGATGGTGGTGAGGTGATCTGAAATACTTGAATTATTAAAGGTAATTTATAGCATAGTAAAATAGATACCTACCTAAGCCTAACCAGAGTGACAGTATCTTTTGTTCATGCTTACTTCTGGTTCAAATACTGTGAACTGTAGTGGATGTTTTTTTAAAAATGAGGTGTCTAACCGAGTCCGATACCCCCCTTTAGTCAAAATGTGAGCATGTACCACTCCAACAACTACCTTTTTTTATGTTGTTCTAATTTATGTATAAATTTATACGAGTAATTCGGTGTAATTATTATTATTATTATTAAAAATATTGTCTGTATGATATTTACTATTTGATCCTGTCAACATTAACATTTAACAACTATAACTCGGCACTCGGCAGCGAATTATCGTAATATTTACCAGAAAAACATGCTCGATATTGTGGTTACATGTGGTTTATACCATAACTGTTCCGGCGTTTTTTTTCTTTTTACCTTCGTTATCATCAATGCGGCTGATAACGGTACAAACTTCGAAATTCTTTGTGGACTATACAAAAATACAAAATCAAGACAGAACAACGATATCATGTTAACTGTTGCATTATAGCTTATAGGTACTACTTTAGTAAGTTGAACTAATCAAAAACAATAATATTATTAATTAATAATTACACTGTGAGTAAATAGTGATTCTTGAAATTCCAAATACATTCTAACTTCGTTGTTATTATGTTTCGAAATGGTTTTCTTCATTTTTAATTTATATTGCACGACATTACAATAGATTTGCAAATTCAGCCAAAAAGATACCATGATCACTAAGTTCATTTTGGCATATTTGGCTTTGAGCATAGTCAACACTGCCTATGCGGACGAGTTCAAATGTCAGACGTTTGCTGACGGATCAGTTTATCCATCCAGTACTATTGAATCCACTAATCACAAATTGCAGTATACTAAAGCACTGAGTGAGTGATAAGTAATAAATGTTATACTTTATTGTTGTATTTAATCTGCCTGTAATTTTTTGCTAACTAATATGACTATTTTAAATGGCTCTCAACATTTTTAGTATCAAAACCAGCGCCTGATTGGAAGAGCACAGCTGTAATTAATGGTTCATTGCAGGAGCTAAAGCTAAAAGATTTCCGCGGGAAGTATTTAGTGTTTTTTTTTTATCCTTTGGACTTGTAAGTGATTATTTTGACCCTTGTACCTTCTACATGTAGTAATAATTTATATTATATTGGGTTGCAGCACATTTGTTTGTCCAACAGAAATATTAGCTTTCAACGACCGCATTGAGGAGTTTAAAAGGATTGATACAGAAGTTGTGGCAGCATCAGTGGACTCGCATTTTACACATTTAGCTTGGGTGAATACACCACGAAAAGATGGTGGTTTGGGCAATTTGTCAATCCCATTATTATCAGACATGACTCATAAAATATCCAAAGATTACGGTGTTTATTTGAGTGACGTTGGTCATTCTTTAAGGTATTATCTAAACTAAAAAGTTGACAACAAAATTGTTTTTTTTGTTTGCATTTGTTTTTAGGGGACTGTTTATTATAGACAATAGAGGTATTCTCAGACAAATAACAATGAATGACTTGCCAGTTGGCCGAAGTGTAGATGAAACTCTAAGACTAGTACAAGCATTTCAATATACAGATATGCATGGAGAAGTATGTCCTGCTAATTGGAAACCTGGCGAACAAACGGTAAAATTAATCATTAATCATGTATTTAGAATAGTTGAAATTCATTTAAACTTGTATTCTTGATAATCCAAACATTTGCTTTAAAATCAGAAACTTGTAAAAGAGTTTTGTTTGTTTATATTTTTTCTCTAAAAAGTACAATTCTAACTTAATTTATAATGAATTAAGTCAGTGGCGTGTCCAGAACTTTTTTTATGGATGGGCCACAATAGTTAGGTTCAGAATGGTTTTACCCCCTCTTCATTTTATAATTTGATCTACTTATGTTTTAGTATTTTTATTCTTAATTACTAGTTTTAATATTTTTAAAACAAATAGTAGGTTACCTTTTATTAAAACATAAACTCTAAGACATTATTTACTTTGGTTTTTAGATATTTCATTCTTGGATTAACCATAAACTTGTAATAATTGTAATAGAAAAATTAATAAAAACAAAAACAATGTCTAGAATATTCTGTATAATATAAAAAAAACCACAATTTATCTTTAAATATTCAAATCTTTTGAAAAACACAAATAAAAATTTATAAGTAATAATAATAAATAATAATAATATTTTAATAATACATATTAAAACATAAGTTTTACAAATTAAAAATCGAATAATATTTTTAATGTACAGTATAATTATAAAGAAAATGATAATCTACGGTTTTTGCTTGTTGCAAATTCATTTATGACTGATGTTGGATCTTGTATTAACTGCCCACTCAGTTCCCTCTCGATTGATAAAATTGCAGTATTATGAAGTCTTTCACTTGTCATTGTTGATCTTAAATATGTCTTGATTCTGCGCATTGCTGAGAAGCTCCTCTCAGCAGTCGCACTAGTGACAGGTATAACTAAAACTCGAGTAACTATTTCATTAATTTCTTGAAAAGCAGGTTTCATAATTGTTAATTCTTTGTGAAGCTCTACAATATTAATTGTAGTATTTTCAAACATATTTTTTACTAAAATTGATTGAGAAGCAATAGTTTCCATATTACACATGTTGTCTTGTCCATAAATATTTACCAAGTATTTCAATTTTTCAATATCCATAAAATTACTGGAATTTGGATCACATGCATCAACAGCAGTTAATATACCTATGTTTTCATCAAATCTAGAATTCATTTCTCTAATAATTGTGTCTATAATTTCAAAATATTGATGTCGAATTTCATCTTTTTCATTTACAGTCTGGAATTTGAGAGAATTATTTTTACCAACTGTAGAATAAACATAACTATTGTTCAATTTTGATGGTAAATTCATTTTTCTTCTTGGCATAGAAAGTGAAGTTGTAGCAGTTTGGTTACATGGTATTGTTATATTTAACTCTTGAGCAGCAATCACAGATTCATCAAATAATTTATTAAATTTGTCTTCATTTCTCATATTTTGTAATAAAATTGTTGTTGACTTTACTAATTTCAAACACTTGATAATATCTAGAGAAGATTTTTGCAAATAAACTGATAAGTTGTTAATAATACCTAAAATATCATCCAAGTAAAATAGAGTTAAAATTACATGAAATGAAGAAAATTGATGTAGAAGACCACGAGCCTCGGCAGCTTCCTTTTTTTTTGAATTTTTAGAACATTCTGTTAATGCAACAATTACACATTTAAATTTACTTTTGAAAAAGTGAACACCTTTATACTTGGAAACCCATCTAGTTTCACAATGTTGAGGGACTTCAATAATTTTGCCACAGTCTTTTTGAGCTTGTATAAAAGCATTATGTCTTATCGTAGAAAAGCTTTGAAAAGCATAAATTGCTTCTAACAATCCTATTATTTCATCCAGTGCTTCAACTTTTTTTGCTGTGTCCACTAAAACTAAATTGAGCCTATGAGCGTAACAGTGCACATATGGACATGCATTTTTTTGATAATTCACGAATTTTGGCTTGTACTCCATTATTACAACCTGACATCACAGATGCACCATCATAAGACTGTGCAATACATTTTGTTATATCTAAGTTTATACTAACTAAAAACTTATGAATAGTGTTACACAAACTTTGAGCATCAAGGTCCTTTAATAAAATAAAACCCAGGAAACGTTCTTTTATTATACAATCTGAAACGTACCTTATACACAAACTCATTTGTTCTTCTTTACCAATATCACGTGCTTCATCTGCAATTATACTGAATACATGACTACCTTTTTTAATTTCATTTACAATACTACGACCAACAACAATAGCAGCTGCTTCCAGAATATCGTTTTGAATTAAATTTGATGTGTACTTGGCATTTTTTGGAAGTGACATCAGATTTGATTCAAAGTTCTTGTTTTCTAAACTTGACAGTTTAACCAACTCTAAAAAATTCCCTGTGACATTAAAATCATAAATATTATTTATTATTTACCCACCAAATAACTTGAATTAAATAACGTATTAACGTATTAATATTTGATAAGTAAATGATCATACACAATTTAAATGAATTAAATATTTTAGAAAAAATTATATTTGAGCAGTTACCTTATAGACACATAAGTTAGAGTATAATTTATCAAGTAGAAAATAAACATATTATTAAAAAATATTAGATTGGTTTTCTAGAAAAAAAAAGAATGAAATAGTAAATGAATTACCTTGATTTCTATAATGCTCTATTTCTGTAGTAACACTAACAGAACTATTAGATGTAGAATGATTGTCATCTGAAATTTGTAGCTTTTCATTTCGATGACCACGAAGACTAATATCTTGACGAGCACAATAAAGTGCCATTCTAATCAACGATTTTAATACATCGCGATTTTTTAATATTTGTTGCTGAGTAAAATTATTTACTTGACATGATACAGCACCAGATGTTTTTGAAGTTTTATAAGCTTTATATTTTTCTAAGCTTAATTTGTGAATGGCAGAATTTTGATGTTTAATTGTACAATCAGTAATTCGTTTCCAGTCACAATAGCCTTGTTTAATAAAAACTTGTTGTCCTGAGGTGTTACTTACATTTATAGCAAAATGCCGACAGTAATAACAATAAATTCTGTCTTTTTGTTTAGAGTACTCAATCCATGGATATTTTGAATACCATGACGAATTAAATGATCGATATTTGTTGTATATCATCCGACGAGGAAACAAGTAAATACTAGGCTGAACTGCCTGTTCATCAATATTATTACTTATGTCAAACACTTCTTCATCAAAACTAGATTCTGATTGTTTTGCATCAGTTGGAGTTAAATTCATAACATTTGTTGTGATCGACTTGTCCGTGCTCACCGGAGTGCTCACTGTTGATTTATTTACTAAAAATCGTTTCATAATAATGCCAAATGGATATTATTAAAAACACAAATTTAAATTTAAGTATATTATCCTTGAACTTTGAAGAGTAAAAACGAAACAAAACTGAAACGGGGACTAACACGACGCAAACGCAACTGATAATATTTAAAAATTAATAGCAATACCCATAGAAGAAATGATTATTATTAATGCCTGTAATAAGTATAATACATATACAAATAATTATATACACTAAAATCGTGGCGACGCGCGACGGAGCGCACGGATTATCTTATTGATGGTATTTCCCAACGTCGTAAGACTAAAAATAACATTATTCCCACCACATATGAATTATGAATACGTAATATGTATAAATATGCCTCACTCATATTGCTATACATTTTTATTGAAATACAAAATAATAATAAAAACTATTTTTTTTCTAACTATTTATTAATCATATTTTCATTTTTCATTGAGTATTGTAATTTGTAGATTGGACTTAAACTAGTCTAGTACTTATACAAAAATGTGGGTGGGCACATGCCTACCGGGCCCACCCCCTAAACACGCCACTGAATTAAGTCCTTTAAAACTTGTAAAAAGTGTAAATATTATACTCATTTTATATACTAGTGTTATTGATTTAAATCTAGTAATCATTCTTTTGACCTAAGAAAAGTATAAGTTTTGTTTACACATTAGGTATATTTAAACTATACTTACACTACTTATAATCATCACAAATATTTGAATATATTTTTTAAATTAATATAAAATTATAATTTACTTTATATTTTTATGTTTAAAAATAAAAACAATTATTATGTGAAATTTGATGTGATTTTTATGTTGGAAATTTATTTTAGTGAATATAAATGTAAACATTAATTGTAAATTAATTTGTATAATTTGTATGTTTCAGATAATTCCTGACCCTATTAAGAAGAAACAATATTTTGATAGACTGATTGAATTATAATTCACCTGTGGTGATCTCATAATTGCCAAGACATAATTATTTATTACTTATTAAGCATCACAAAGACACAAACTTACATATAATAATTTTTTTTTATTTAAACAAAACGGTTTGTTGGTTTTGTTTTTATTAAAATATATTGATTTTTTTACTAAATATTGATGATGAAAATAATACAAATAAATTATTTAAAATAACACATATTGGCATTTTATGACATATACATATATTATTTATAAATATAAAAATGCATTTATTTACACTATAACATAGTATTTATAATGTCTACAATATATAATATAATGAATAGAAACGTTACTAGTAACATACCAAAGTACCATTAATTCAATAGTCCCAGAGATTTTTAATGGATACACATTAAATCAATTTGAGTACTACATCAATTAATATTATAACACAATAGTATAATATAAATATATATAATTTATAAATAACATATATTATTCAGTATGGTTTGTTAGGTAGGTCCATGGAAATATTGTTAAAACGTGGCTGTGAATTATTATATACCTACTATTTTCCAATGACATTAATCACCAACTAATGTAGTATAAAAAAAAAACTACAACAAAGAGTGTGATAATAATAAAATTGAATATTTAATTACAAATAATACATAAGTAATAATACCCAAGCACACATTTCAATTTCCATTCAAATCGATAGTCTTGTAATATTACTCATCGATATAATTCGGATCTCAGTAACGGCTCGTGTCTCTTACAACATCACACCTAAATGATTTAACCATCGACCTTAACACATAATTAACAACAAACCTTATACATATATATTATATTTTATGTACACAATGCTATTAGATACTAATAAGTAATAATCTTTGTATACCACTTATACGATTATACATTAAAAACAAAAAATATAAATTGACATTCGTTATAGGTGCGCTTTTTGAATACTAAAACATAATTCACTGATGTCTCCGCAGACTATTAGTTAAACATATAATAATCGCGTGACGAGTGTGAGTTATGTTGATTCACGAAGACGATGCTATGCCGATTAATTAATTATTAAAAATGTATATCATAATAAATTGTCGTTTGTTGTACAAAGCAATTTTTTTTTTTTTTTTTTTTTAACATTTATAAAAGCTAATAATATCTAATTATAATAATATACATCGAGTAAATGAAAAACAATCGTTGAAAATGCTTCGATTAATGAGATCAGATATTGATAGAGAGGAGGCGGGGGATGGATTTCGACTTTCGAATAACCAAAAAATTCTCGTAAATAATATATCGGACAGCCGTCGTGGATTTTCGTCATACTTGTCATAGACAGGTTTATCGATATGAAAGACCATTGCGAGCCATCAATACAATGGCATGACTACTGACCAACCAATATATTTATACGATAACATCATCTTGTTCAGCACACCACCCGATTTACTATGGATTCCGCGCATAGTACCTAAGTTAAATTTATATTTCTTTATCGTCCCCAAAAACTTGGTCACCGAGACTTTTCGCCGGAACGACCGCAGACTTGTCGTAGCATATCCATTCGACATCTAATCTACAGGTGTGAATGAATTTTTTTTTTTTTTGTCAAAAATCTAGGGGACGGTGAATTTTTCCGTGGGAACAAAAACCGTGATTTGCACGACAATTTATGTTATTCGCACACTCTGTTGTCATACTCTGTAGTACCTAAATTTATTTTTACTCGTTTCTTAAAAAATCGAGTCGACAGTCGATACTGCGTTAGGTACGTTATCAGCGTACCTACTATGCGGTCATTCGATGGATAGTCCGTTTTTGTCCAGCGTCGGTCGGCCCGGATCGTTGTCAGACGGACGCATATATCTATCAAATTCGTATTTATTTTATTTGAATTCTCGGAACGTCTCGAGCTGGCGAATCTGACGACAGACAGTATTGCGACGCCCGACTTCGCTGTACATTCGGCTCGTCCTCGCTGAACGGAAACGGATGTCATACGCCTGCCACCGCCGCCGTGTTTCAATCGGGATGTAATAATATTGTACACTACATATCCGTCGTCGCTGTTGTATAGTTACAGCTGGCTGCGACCGACTCGTACTGTACGTCTCTCTTGTATATGACGATGATGGACGATGACAACGACGGCTTATTCGATCAACCTGTATGGGTGGATAATAGGTGGTTGGTAGTTAGGTAGGAATGGGAGGGGAGGTGCCTTGGTCGGCGGGTCTTGAGGCGACATTTTTCTTCTTCTTTTTTTTTTCTTTTTACTTTTATTTTTTTTTTGATTTTCGATATTTTTCTCTCTTATTCGCGTACGTACGTGTTCACAGCGTGAGCGTCGTGTTCGGAGCGCCCGCAGCGGTGGCCGTGTCGGCGGACGCCCACACGGGTCATATGCTCAGCGAAGGCCGTTTCTTCCGGTCCCGCTTGCTGCTGTTCTTGCCGAATATCGTGCCCAGCACCTTGGACACGCTGTTGACGCCTAACTTGCGCCTGATAGGCAGCCCGCGGAGCAGCTGCACTGCCCGAGTCTCGCGCAACAGCGAGTGGAACGCGAGCGACACGCCCGCGAAGTTTTCAGCCGCACTCACCTCGTAGAACTGACAGCCGAACCGCAGCGACAGCTCTTGTCCCGCGTCTACTGCCACTATCCTGCAACAATCGCAAACGATAATCAATATTCGGTTATATTATAATATTTATATTGTGCACGTAATTATGTAGACGACATAAACCCACAAGTACTTGTATGTATATTTAAAAGTTATTTTATACCATGTATGACATTGTACGCAATATCTAAAAATATTATTATCTCTGTTTTTCGTCTCTCGCGATCTTTACGGGTCTATACTCTATAATATTGTCTACATATGCTATCTTTTTATTTTTTTAACAAAGTTGTCCCCAAATTTTTCTCTCTACGCTTGGCCAATATGTCTATGGTTAAGACACAAAGACACACCTATAATACACAATGATTATACGCAGGTGCATAAAGACTGAAATGTATTTATAGTGGCTAAAACTAATTATACTGTATATGTATATATATATTTAAAATATGTATTATAATACGCGAAATATTAAATAAATATTATACTGTTTAATACTCGTTTATAATTCATAGGATAAAATATTTTGTACAACTACGGTTTGGTTAGTATTCAAACAAAAAAGAAAGTAGGTAGGTATATTATAGGTACCTATCAATTCTAAAATATTTAAAAACATAAGAAGACTTTTAATTGTTGAATTTTGAATTGATTTACCCTAAGAATAAAATATTTAAATTTGAAAAATTGCCAAAGAAATCTTGAAGAATAATTTTTTTCTCATAATATTATATTTATACTAAATTTAAAGTTTCATACTAAAATCTAGATCACGCGGCGTTTCAGATAGGCTATTCAGATACACCACTGTCATGACTTGAACTCCCGTGATTTTCTTGTATGTTATATAAGCGTATAGTTGGTTAAAACACATCAAAGTACGATATTATAATTGAGTTATGTAAGTTAAATTATATTGATATACTATATATTCTTTAAAGCATAAATTTAATTATTATTCGGTAACAAATAATATTTATTAATAACTCAAATAATTTGATGATTAAATATTAATTTTACTAAACATTTCTACAATGTATATTATGCATAATAATATTATATGCACTATTCTAAAATATAAAAAATGATTTAATTTTAATGTTTATCCATAAAAAGTGCAAGGGTAGATACAAATAGTATTATTATATTATAAATATTTGGAGCGTTTGTCGCTAACGTATAATAGCCAATTAGAATATTATGTTAGAAAGTGAAAGTTCGGTAGATGATTTTCATTAGCATGAATAAATTACCAACCCCGTATAATACCTATACTATTGGTTGTATATTTACTATAATCATATTATACTTGAGATATATTTGAAATTACTCTCTAATTAGTTGTCGTAACATTATATATATATATTTACATATATACACTCTGAAGTAACAACTGTTCTTTTTTTAACTATTAAAGCGCTAAAAAAGTTTAATATTGGTTTAAATCAAAGTTCAATATTTTTTACAGAAATTAAAATTATTAAAAAAAAAAAATAATAATAAACGTACGTACTTGAGGCGTTTTTGTACATCTCATAATATAATAAGTAATCACCAAATACAATAATATTTTGTTTTACATTTTAATTATTGTTTATCACACAAAATTAATTAATACATGCACTATTGTATACATTATTAGCAATTAATTTAAAAAATTTAAGCTTCATTTCGCGTAGATATATTGTTTTAAAACATTTAAGCCGCATATGTATAAAAGTTTGAAAAAGCCTTTTCTTAGGCTGATGACCTTAGAAATATACAACGTCATAGTTGCAGTAGTTATTTCCGTATTAATAGAAAAAGTTTTATATTAAACAAGTTTCGTGATTATTTTTAGATTTAGTTTTCTAAGGAAGATAGGGCGATTGAAGTAGCATCTCGTCGAGATGATGAGGGGTGCAGTACAAAGTCGATTCTATTTTGAAGCTCTCTATCCGAATACTCTACACGCTAAACATTTTCTGTACGTCATAAACGTGAGCATTGCAATCATTATTATTTTTATTCTCATTTTATTTTAAAACGTTTCAAATAAACATTATTCCTCCATAATTGGTTTTATTGTCGTTCGATGGGCGGTAAATGGTGATACCGATGGATAAATGTAAAGAGTTTGCGTGACTTGTATGTCACTTCAACTGATAAATAACAATAGGTTCAACAATATTCACCACACATAATCATATTATGCACATTATATATGTGGCTTGGGTCTAAATGGGCCAATTAAATTTTTACTAAATTTTCACAATCACTGATTTTTACATTTTTAACTTAAAAGTATTTGCAAGAATTTTATAAAATAGTTTATGAAGTTGAATGTTTGAGAAAAGTTTAAAAATATACTAATTACTAAATAATTAGACAATTAGTCTTTGTATCTATTTCACATGAATGTATTTTAAGATTTATATATGTATAATATACCAATAGTCAGTGGCATAGCCAGAACTTTTGAATGGGGGGAGGTTAAGTTTTAAGTATACATCAAGGATGATATAGCAAAAAAAAGGTTATTCAAAATATGTTAACTGAATAATTAAATAAAAATTAATAGGGGGTTATAACACCTCATTCCCTTGGTTATGTCACTGCATATAGTAATATTTATTATATTTGACACCGTTTTTTTTTTTTATTATTTGATTTTATTACATAACTTTAATTTTAAAAGTATTTCAATTAATACAAAAAAAAAAAAAAAATTAATAAAATCGTTTTTATTTTCGAAGCACAGCTAATGGTTAAGGTAACAGTGCCATCACGTTAAATGTCTTGTATAATATACCAATACCAGGTAGTAGAAACTAACAGTTATCATTATTTAAGTACTATTTTTTTGTCGATAATAATATCATTATGCGATCGTGAACTATTCAAACTGCACAATACAGTTTATCCTTCCCATAAAGTAAAAATGTAAATATCTATTGGTGTGATGTTTTTGAATAACAAAAAATGAAATACACTGTCACGATCGAAAAGAAATTAGTCCAAAAACTTTTAAGGTGGTCTATTGCTTATTATTTGATGTTATTTTAGTCGTAACGATTATCTAAATGCATTACGTAATATAATTTTATTTTATGTGTTTAAATAGGTACGTAACTTAAGTGAAAATAATGAATTCAATATTTGAAACTCGAATACAAACAAAACACGAAGGACTTACAAAATCCGTGATGTTTGTTTTGATAGTAGGCACTTCCAAATGTACACTATAAATTTGTGAGTGTAAAGAATACAATATATGTATAGTGGATATCTACATAATATATACACACGGCAGATGAACCGTTTTCGAGCAATATTTGTTCAAAAAACTCTCATTCCTACGCGAAACCGTTTATTAAATTTAAATATATAAATGTGGTAGTCATAAATAGGATCGGGCAATTTCCAGATACGTTAATTTACGAGGATTTTTGAGAATGGTAGTGAAACTAAAAAACTTACGATACCTAGTCGATTGCTTACAGCCTACTTTTATTAATCACCATATTAATGTTATCTAAAGCCTTATTTCAATAATTAATTAGATATTCAAATCTTTGATCAAAATAATTATATGATTGTAGAAGTGAAGGACAAAATACGATGTATTTTTCTTTTAATTATTTAACCTTTCAATAATGTACATTGTACATGAATAATAATAATCATCAAAATTAAAAATCCGCGCCTAAAGATATTGGAACGATTTACATTCACTTGGTTTTCTAAGCATAATATTTATTTCGGCACGGAAATCATTGCTCTGGTATGGTAAATTATATTTTAAATTATCATTTAACTTTAAATAATGTTAAAGAAAAATTTAAAAAATACTTATAAAAATTTGCTAACAAATATTCACGTTATATTGATCAACGACGAGTGTCAAATTTTTATTTTTTCATCTTCCCGCCGTGCGATGCATTCAAATGATACACATTACGCGGTAACGTGTACACGATAAGCATTTTTTTTTTCATTCAATATAAAATATTCTTAGAAGGAGGTCTGTTGCAAACGAAAACTGAAAGCGTAAAGATATTTAAACACGTGGTAACGTGAACTACACGGACACGCTTATAGTGTATTATTATATAATTTCGTACAGTCGTACAGACGGTGTATGGGTAAACGTTGGCAAAACTAATATAAAAATATAATATAATCAATATAAAAATAAGAAAATTGCACGTGGATTATTGTTACGAAATTAATATACAATAACGAGATGCACGTCTTCGTCGCTACCTGTCATTCGCACGATATCAGCGGGCGGCTCACTAAATGTAAAATTATTATATTATAAAATACACCTCGTAATGGTAATATTGTTAGAACAGCACAGTAAAACGATGATGATGATGGTATTAATGTTATATCATTTATATTATTACAGTTTTTGCTTTTTTTTTTAGAGCTGTCATTATACAGGACTATTCACCAAGCATGTTCACCCGTTTTTCCGAAAACTTATTAAGAATTAGATCCTATCAATTGAAATTTAAAAAATCGTTACTATGAAATCAACGAAAAATTTGAAATATAATGTTTACTTAAGTGTGAGTTAATCCTTTCCTCCATATTCTGTTACACGTGATCATTAATATTACAAGGAAGTATACTTCTATATTTGAATAAATTCGCGAGAATTACTAAAATTTGAATCTGCAGATTAAATTTGCTTTTTGTCTAAACGCTGATAGAGATCACTGAGTAAAATAATAGTCCGTTATCTTTGGGAAGTGGTTGATATTTTTAGTAGAGAAACACCAAGGATCGGCTCATGCGGTCTATATATTGCATCGAAAGTCATAAAAAACGTGGAAAACACATGCGACGGGTAAATAATAGATTATATACGCTCGCACATACGCATACATAAACCGGAAATGCGGCAAGTCTCATAATAATACGTATATGTGTGTATTTATACCTATATAATACACGAACAGGAAGTCACGGGAACGATGGTCGCGGGGCAGCGGCGGCGGAGACAACAGTTGTAGTTGTTTTCGACGTATAATTATAATTATTGTCATACGATACTCGGAGAGAGATAAAAAGGATATATATATATTTAACGCCGTGTACGTATAAATAAAAACCAGAACAATAAGAAAACGAGGACGTTATTGGTCGATGCCGCAACGTAACACGCGAGCACGGAGAGAGATAGAGCAGACGGTGTCGACGATTTTGATTTCGCCACCTACGCGTTTTTATTATATTTTATTGTTGTTTACACATAGGTAAATAATATATGATATGTATGTTTAACGTCATCGATACATCTCGCGTATCGTCTTACACTATTATGTTATTTTATTGCAATATTATAATGAAGATTATGCGTGCACCGTCAGGATGCGATTTACGGTACATATATTAATATATTATATGGCCCACAAACGTTTCTTAGATACATATTATACATACGTTCGTGATTTTTTTTAGGCATGCTTAGTTTATACCGTACAGAACACTCTACAATACGATTTCTTTCCTTATCACCACTCGATCACTCTTTCTCTCTCTCTCTCTCTCTCTTTCTCTCATTCTCTCTCTTTCTATTTGCCACCCCTTAGCTTAGTCTACATTATATGCGTACGCAATCACCCGCAACAATTATTATTATACACTACGTGTGTTATACAACTTCATATTATTATTAATAAGCTTATTATCAATGATATCGTACGCGTTTTGCACGTTTTACCTGGAATGGTCCAAGTCTCTCTTGTTGCCCAGCAACAGCGTAGCAAAGTACGACGGCAATTTGTGTTTGCTTAACTCGTCCAGAAGGTATTGAGCTTCGTTAAAACTCGACAGGTCCACCACACTGTAGACAATCACGAATGCGTCGGCCCATCTTATGTGATCGTACAAGCAAGTGGTCTGCAGAAAAAATAAGTTATTTTTATTATTATTGTTATTATTGATACGCCCGTTATTGTTACAGACACGAACTAATAATGATAAACATATATAATACAGTAATAGTAGCACTGTGTAGTACTAACAATAATTTTTGTATATTAGTTACATTAAATTTATTTATTTAATGTAAAGTATCCACATTGAAAAGTAAAAAAACATATTATATTTGATGATGACGAGGAAATTTTTTATAGCTAAAAATCATAAACAAAGAGTAATTGTACATGATTTAGGTATGATAACTCAAAGTATTTCTACGATATTAGGTAGGTAATTATTGTTCCTTGTTTGTTGTATATTATACTTCGTATTCATTTTTTTTTTTTTTTGTTTACTTAGCCCATATTTAACGTTAACATGAGTTACCAATTCAAAATAGAAAATTTCAGAGAGATGCCTTGTACGCATTTATAGTGTTTCACGACTTATCGTCAAATTGAATAATTGCTATTGTAACAATAATATATGCAGACTGTGTAATTAATTTTTTTTGTAAATTACATTAAAAATTAATCCAAGGCCAAGCACATTTCAACAAATTTTTCTGGTGGCATTGTGATATTTACTTATAAATTAAAGCACGTGAAGACTATATAGTGGATTAATAATTATTATTACTATTATTATCAATATAGTAAATTATTTTTATGTTTCGGATTTATACATTTCACCTGTACAACTCTCTAAATATTGTAACCAATACATGTTGTTCTAAAAATGTTTACTGAACCGAAAAGCTTATAAAAATAATTTATTTGTATTTTATATCACTCTGCGTACGCACGGGAGCAGGTTGAGCAGTTAATATAATAACTACATTTTTTTTTTAGAGCCGGTTAACTGTGGTAGCCAATTGTTGAAGAGACAGCTATTTATTTTAAATTTATATGTATATATAAAAAAAAACAGTGGTTATTAATCATTGCAACGACAGCGAATTTATACAAATAACGTTTTATACTTGAACATAGTATTTAAAAACGGATAAATATTCGTGAAAATAAATATATCCTTAATTATTGAGATATGGGATAAAAATTACAAAATATACACGAACAAATCTATATTTATAAAATTACCATAAAAATAAAAATGGGAGATTTTCTAAGTATAAATTCAAAAGACGACAAACATAAAGAAGATAAAAAAAAAAAAAAATAAAATAATTGATTAGGTAACTATAATAATAGTATATATTATACATATATATAATATATTACTTATTATTACTTGATTAATAAACAATAACATGAGAGATTTATTTAAAATTAGATTTAAAAATTAGGTAAGTAAATAAATGTAGAGGAAAGTCGTTAAATTATATGAAAATAAAATAAAATTTTAAACCACTATTTGTTTTTGGTTATTTTCTTACAAGCTAGGTAATGCTTCGTGCTTGTTTATTGGAGTTTTATTATAGATACCTATTTAAAATACATCAATTCATTTAACAGGAAAAAAACATTATTGTATTTTATTTCCATTATTATTGAATATAATGTAGTGCATAATATTTACTAAAATCAATTGAAATATATATTAAAATTTTGTTAGATATTCGAAATCGAATTTTGAACGGATGTCGCTTACAGAGTTACGAATATCATATTTTCACGGTACTATACTAATCATTATTTTACCTTATCTAATTCATTTGTTGGATGTTAAACGAATGCGATTTTCTATAATACAACTCTACACTTAACCTTCTTATGCAACATAACGACCTTGATAGTTGGTACCGTACGACGTACCTACAATACAACAACCGATATTCATAAATAGATATATTATACAGTATTGAATACAATATGAAGAGTGTATGTTAAATATAATAATTATGAGAGTATAAAAAAGTTTTCAACATACTTCCTCCATTGAAAAAACATCATCGTCATCTCCATAATATAATATCATATAATATTATAATTTATAATTCAATACCAAACTGGTACACATCAAACTCGTAAAACAAAATCTGTCAAAATCATACGCGATGACACGTATACGCGAACGCGTCGTTTTATTATTATTCTCAAGTCTATATACTATAACAATTTCCTAAACAAAACACATATAGGCGTGCTATGTCTGTATGTCAATATAATATAGGTACAATATAAAGTGTGGCATAATAAATAATTAATATAGTTATGGATACATATAATATTATTATACACGTCGCAGATCCACAATAACGCGACGACCGACAAAATAAATATAATAATAATATCATCACAATACGAAATAAACAACGAGAAAAATCTCGAGTATGGACATGAAAAAACAAAAAAAAAATACGAATATGAATTATGCCGTGGGGGCTCTCGCTGCCGTCGCGGATCGCTAATGAAACGAGACATCTCGTGCATGTGTATTTTTTTTATATCCTTCTCGTTTTGTTTGTTTATTTTAATCAGCGGAATAATAATAAATATTATTATATCATATTATTTTCATTATAATATCATATTATTATTGTATGCTTGGCGCGACAATAGCAGTTCAGCGCACCATACATAGGTGTATACATAATAATGTAATATTATGCGCATGGAGGACCGGAACAAATCGAAATGAACAAAAAAAAAAAAAAAAAAATCGATTTTCATTTTAGACGTACCGTGATCAATACAATATTATATTATCAGACACTATAGATATGGATAAAACGACGTATGCGGAGGTGGTCACAGTGAAGATGACGACGACGCGATTAAAATCTGTTTTATATTTTACTATAAAATATAATATATTATTATAATATGTATGTATACCTATTGACCTTGACTACGCGCGTGTACATATCAGATTGAGCCCATTACATATTATATATTTAATATATAACATATAGAAGAAACCCATATCGGATGTAATGCATTTGACGAGCGGATGAGTCTCACTCACGATTTCTTAATCAAAGTATATCCTATAGCTCGACACATTATCATTATATGGCTGCAACTCTAAAATAATATACCTCTTGATAATTATATTATTATAACATTTTATTTTTTTTCACATGATTTTTTTTATTATTATTATATTTAAATACCACGGTGATTTTAATTCCAGATTCTCTGGAGCAGCAGATGAAATTCAATAACGGCGACGTAAGCGTCTCGGCAGATCGCCAGATAAAGAGAGATTCCATTAAACACGGAATATAACGCGGATGCTAAAATATTTTTATGCGTTATAAAGTGTGCTCATAATATTATTTTCATTCCTGAATTTTATGCCAGTTTTTTCTGTTTTTTTTCTCCCGTTATTTTTTGCAAAATTTCTTATAACAATATGAATTTAAAAATCACCATTTTAAAGTGTGTCCTATAATAATAGTTTTATATTTACATTTTATGGATAAACATTTTTGAGACAATATATCATATTTTGTAAACCTAATATAGTTAGTCTTCACTGTGGCTCTATACTAAAAATCTTTAAAAGAATATGAAAGTTTAAAGATAGTATACAATACAAGAGATGGAGAAAATTTGGTTTTTTCTCTTAAATTATGATCAAGTAGTTATCTCATTATGCAATAATCACTTGAAACGATAAAAAAAAAAAAAAAAAAAAAAAAATGAGAAAACAACAAATGCGCGTTGAATGCGATCAGGATTAAAATTTATAAATATTACATACTGTATTTATTATACACCGCCTGCTAGCAATTATCATATTTTTCACTTTTGATTTTGTTTCTCTCGACCACTACAAAAAAACGTATACAAACGTGTACTATATGTAATAAGTATATATATATATATTATATTTATCGTTCGTTTGTCCAGTCATTCCGCGATTTGAAATCATTAATGCAGCCTGTCATACGTCTATTTATGATAATCTATACCTTTTCTCTATAGGTATAATTCGTACTATTAAAAACAATCGTTCTTATGTAGTGGTCATCTCATACGATTTTGCCGATAGATACGAAATATATACGTCGTATATATAGTAATAAAAATATCTTAAATGGGAGAGACAGCCGATCGTCATAATATATCAAAACAGTAATACGATTATGTACCACTACCAAACCGCGCGCAGTAATACTATATCGTTCGTGAGGGTTCGAGAAATTTGAGTTTTCGATTTTAAATTTTAGCAACGACAACAGGAAAAAAGCCGATACTTGTAAAATATCAAATATACGATACATTACGCGCTTTCTCTCAATCTGATGACTGCTCGATGATGACACTGTAGCAGAAACTACCGGTCGCCGCGTTAACTCTTTTTTCGTTATGATAAATAGATTTAGACAAGCTGTGCAAGGAAATGACAGGTGCGCGTTATCATTGAAATTTTGTTTTATTTTTCAATTTGCGGAGAAATGTAGGTATTTATATTTTATCTTGTCACTGTAAATTTAAAATTGTTACACAACGATGTTTACGGGAACAATTTCTTGTACATATCAGCACGTCATAATATTTCGACAAAGATGTAGTGAATTTATGCAACAATAACTGCAGTACAGTTTCTTAAACGTAATACATTACCGAATTTTTCATTTATTTTCATTTTCATTTGTCATACAAATTTTTAATATACAGAAATCAATGCTATTCTAGTGGATTTATACATCCAATGTCAGATAAAAACTTAAAAACTTGACGATACTTGGTTTATAGAGTAAAATAATTCTAGCTGAAGTTCAAATATCCAATACATACAAATCTGTAACTATTTAATTTGAATAACGCCATTACTTGCCAGAGGGTTAAAAATAGTTTATTCAAACAATAAATATTATGTAAGTTCCCTATGAGTAAGCGTTTTTTTTTTATTCGATGAAAAACAAATTATGTAAAAAATTAGCACAACATTTAATGATAAATAGCATGCATAGCGTAAACTGAATAATTCTATATTGGACATGAAATAATTACCATACATCACTGGGTTTTTTAAATTTTTCTAAGATAGAAATCTATTGTAATGTC